TTTTTTTTTTCTTGAGCATTTAGAAAATAAATAAGAACAGTAGAAAAAGCCAAATAAATATAGCATAATATAATATAAATTCTAAAAAATTCTCTTCTATTTGCTGAATTCATTAAGACTATTAGTCTGAAGAAGAAAACAAAACAGAAAAAAAAGAATAGGCGATATAAATGGCGCCTATTGATGACCGACTAATTCAGAATGTGTTGCACAATTGGCTGCTGAGGACGCAAGTCATCTGATCAGATACCTCTCTTCTCAGACACCTGTTTATTCTTCACTTCTGATACAAATCGTCATTCTGTCTACCATAGCATTTTTGTTGTTTTCTAACTACTGATACATTAATTACAGAAAAAAAAAAATCAAAAAATTTTTAAATTCTTCTTCTTAAAGCAGCACCAACAGCAATAGCACAGTTTTGACAAAGAATAAACAAAATTAAATAAATAGCCTAAAACGACAAACGACAGAACAAAAATACTGAAATAAATTTTCTAGACAGTTAAATGTTTACAGTAAGCTCTTGACAACCTTATATTGTTGTTATTTTTTGGTCTTAGCTTATATTTTTCATCGGAAATAATTTTAATAAATTTAGGCTAAAGAATAATACCAAATTAGACAAAAATAAATTTGTTTAGTTCTTCTTCTATATGTTTTCAAATCAGTTGATCAGCCTTCAGTTTCTTTCCCCTTTTCCTAACTAATAATTTGTGCAGCAGTTTGTCAATGATAAATGACTAGATTAATAAACATTCCAAGACATGCAAATAACTTCAACACTTTTTAACACTTCACACATATTATACACTAATCTTTTGAATTAATACAAAGAAAAATTTGTTTTCAGCTCTACAATAAGCATAACTTTGGCTATACAGCATCAAATACTTCGGTCAATCCTTCCGATAACCAGCAGCTTCCAAAAATGGTGTCTCAAAGATGTCGTTCGGTTGTAATGCATGAAGTCGATGCGGAAGCATGGAACGAACCATACCGGTAGGACGATTCAACAGTGAATTAATAAAATTTGGCGGTTTATGCGGAGATATCTTCAAAAAAAAAAAAAGAAATAAATAAAAAACAGAAAAGATCATTTGACGTGTCACATCAGTAGCACCAAAGGAAAAGATGTTTTCTTATTGTTGTGATGTATTGATTGTATCTGTTGTTTATTTGATTTTTTTTTACCACAGGAAAAAAATTTAGAAACCTTAAAAATAAAAGAAATCAAAAAAAAAAAAGAAAAAAAATCAAAATTTTTTAAAAATATTTTTGAAAAGGACAAAAATGAATACAAAGTTAAAAGCTAATTTTTATGCATGTTCAACAACTATTTATTGTAAAGCAAATAAAATTTACTTTTTTGAAAATTGGTTGAAAAATATCGATAACATTCTGTGAAACTCCAACAATTTGTTTTCTGGAAATTTTATCGTACGGTAAACGATTCATGGTGCTTGGCATTCCTGCTACTTTCCTGCTGTTTGGAAGTCGTGCTATTGGAAACAGTGGCATCACCTGCCTGTAATGAGGGAAGAGCTATGCCAATAGATACGTTATAACGATTATAAATTTCAGATGTCTTTCCCTAAATGATTATCAAAGTCTTATACGGAATTTTTTTTCTCAATTCAATTAGCTACGTCAGAAAACTTTTGAAAGTTCGCGAACAAAAATATTCTCTTTCCACAGTTTTGCATTTCTGTTAAAGCAGTCATCAACTGTCTCATAAAACAAATAAGAAAACTCATATATATATATATATATATATATATATATATA